GGGACAGTCCTTTTTCACACATCTAGATCTTTTCAGAAGTGGTGGAAATTGGCAGCTGGGGTACTTTCAGTCTAGATTGATGTTCATCACACCCCAGATAAAATGCAGAATATTATATGGTTGCACTTTATAAATGGTGGTTAAATGGAACTGTTCAAGCCATTTTATAGTTACAATGCACAGTGTAACATAAATAAGTGCTTCTATCAGAGTATTCCTTCAGTAAAATGTGTATAGTTTGTTGCCCTGGATGAGCAAAAAAGTATTTGTCTTGGGCTTGTTTAAATGATTAGGATGAGATTCAATGCTCATATCTTATCAGTTCACTTACCTTCAGTGCCGTTTCACCTGTTTAGAGTGAGTCACATGCAGGGAGTGTGAACATCAGAGGTGGTTTATTATTCGGTCTGCCTTACCCTTAATCTGTTCACAGATATTTATTTACTAATGCTTTCTTTTCTTAAGAGTTATGGGATAGGAAAATGAAGTGTTTGTTCTTCATTTACTAAATGATTGTAAACTCAAGTTTTTCATCAAAATAAAATTCCATTGTTTAAAAAAATAAATATACTCAGAATTTTTTCTTTCCATCTTTTAAAAATTATAGTATACTTGTAGGAATGCTTTATTTTRACAGATGGATATTGACTTTTTCTAACACCAATGGAGGAGGTGSAAGAGGAGTTTATGTGCTTCTAAAATTCTTAGGTTGAGGAAAAATTTACCAATTGGGTAAATTTTTTTTGTGTGAAGTTTGGTTTATTCTGAGTCAGTGATACTGTGTGACTCAACCAATTTCCTAGATGCCTGCTTTTTTTTTCCCCCAGTAAAGGTACCTATTTGGACTCTGCTCCCTTGAACTTTGTAAGGTACCTCCTTCTATTTCCCCAGCAGCTGATATCTTTTTTTTTAAAATTTTTTAAAATTTTTTTTATTGGTTGTTCACAACATTACAAAGCTCTTGACATATCATATTTCATACATTAGATTCAAGTGGGTTATGAACTCCCAATTTTACCCCAAATGCAGATTGCAGAATCGCGTTGGTTACACATCCACAATTTTACATAATGCCCTATTAGTAATTGTTGTATTCTGCTACCTTTCCTATCCCCTACTATCCCCCCTCCCCTCCCCTCCCATCTTCTCTCTCTACCCCATCTACTGTAATTCATTTGCAGCTGATATCTGACCTGTCAGATCTTAGGTTTCTTCTTAGTTTCACCACTCAAATAGTTTCTTACCCCCTGGATGGGAACCTCTGCTGCTGACATCCAAGTTCCACCAAGAGTTTTGATTGCAGAAGAAGAAACTCCAGTAGCAAGTGGCAATGTGCTACACCACTGGTGTCATAACAAAGTCAAAATAGGTTTCTAAAGAAKAATATTGCCATACATTAGACACTCATATAAGTGTTTCCATGAAATGACCCTATGCCCACTCTACTCTAGGCAATTCTCTCTAGACCTGACATCAGGCATCTCAGGATTGGTGAAAAGAAAGCTGAAGGCAGACATTTAAAGGAAGAGTTTGTAATCAACTTCCTGAAATAATCAGAGTCTTATTTTTCTTCATTTCATATCATTTCTCCCACTATATCTATCCCATTCAATTTATGTTAGGGAGATCTAACAATTCATAGTTAACAATTCCACTTTCTCTTCCCTGTCTAGCAATAGATGCAACTTTGTTTCAGACCACGATTTAGTGTGCTCCATTTTCCTCCTGAGAAGATCAAAGCAGAGTTTAGCTAAATACATCAGAGGAACTATATAGTGAAATGTCTATTCATGACCTCCAGAAGAATTCATGCTTTTGTACCATGATAGAGCTATTAGTTGTATTTCTGCTACAGAGATAGCCTGTGACTAGGGAGTAGATACTTGAAATACACATATATGACAAGGGACTAGTATCTAGAATACATAAAGAGCTTCTATAGAAATTCATGAGAAAGATTCCCCAATAAAAAATGTGCAAAATACATTAACCAGATAAGTTACAAAAATAGCAGTCAAATGGTCAGTAAGCATATAAAAAGGTGCTCATCCTTATTTGTCATAAAAATTGAAGAGAATGCAGTAATCCTGAACAATTTAGTGGTAAATGTAGTCAAGATGAAAAATTATGGGACAAAGACTCAATTTAGAACAACCTGCATTAGCTAAACAACTGCTATGTACTTAGAACATTGAAAGTAGTTTGCTTTAAGATACATCTACAAAAATTAATGAAGAATTTAAACATTTCCATGTATATTATTTGCTTGTTCTGTTTGGATTAAGTTGGGTTCTGCCTTTTAGTAAATCTACCAGCTTTCTCAGTGTATCAACGTAGAATTAACTCGTTTCGATAGGTAAGTTCTGAAGAAGATCTGAAGAGGAACTTATTTAAAAGCATGTATGAGTCAATGCAAAKTGCCATAGTGGCAAAAGAGAGCTGGATTCTAGTTCCCATTCTGCCTCTAAATAGCCATTTTTATTAGTAGGTAAGTTATTCTTTTTGAATCTCAACTTTAAATGAGATGGCTTTATATGATTTCTATGAATTCTCCAGTAAAAACTTTTAGGATATTATTATTTGAAGTCATATGGGACATTGCATCTCTGTAGAGAAATTAAGATGCCTTGCATATTAATTCAAGACTTACTATGTACACGACCAGAGTATGTTAGGACTGTCTTCTCTGACAAGACAGAAAAATGTCTGTGTTTTTTTTTTTTTTTTGGTATTGGAAAAAGCAGCCTAATCATTTATTCATTTAATAATTCACATTCAGGACATATTTTTAAACAGACCATTTTAGTAATCCTATTACTTACAATTAGTATGTCCTTTCTGTTTGTCTTCTTCACCATGTGCATGCTTTCTGAAATTATTTGTTACACAATGACACAATATTGGTTGTTTAGGGTATGATTTCTAGACCATAAACTCCTTGAAGACATTCCCTCTACTGGTTGTATTCTCAGTATCTGATATGGAATAGCTCATRTATCAGAGATTTCTTGAGCAGATGAATTCCACAGCTCTAACCTTAACTTCAAAACACTACTATTTATCTTTGGTCACCTACAAAATTCAGTAGGTGGATACACTTGTGACTTAATTCAAGCAGTACCTCAAATATCTAACCTGTGGGTTAGGAAAGTGGGAAGGAAGAATAAGCTGAATGTATTTTTCAACTCTACAGAAAGATGGTCTGATATTTTGATAGTTACCAGAGTAGTTTGTGTTCTTTTCTTGGATGTATCTTCTTCTCAGCTATTAATACAGATGCTTTCTTTATTTCAGCTCCTTTACCTTCTCTCTCTGTTCTCTACCCTTTCAGTGTTGTTCCTACCCTTTTATTTGGATCTTTTGGGGGCTTCCTTTCCTAGATGCTTGCTCAAGAAGAAATGTGAGAACCTAGTGGTGATGAAATAATCTCTGATCACAGCCTTGCATTGCAATGAAGTTTGATCTGCTTTAATTTTCCAAGGGAGCTGAAAACAGAGATCTTAGAGAATAAATCCATTGAAAAGACAAAGAGAGATCTAAATTGTGAGAAGCCTAAAGGCTTTAAAATTATTACTAAAAAGAAAAAAAAACAACCAAAAAAGAACAGAGAACAAAAAGATAAAAAAAAAAAACTTTTTAAAGCTTCACAAATTATTCTATCCTGCAGTAACAACTTATTTCCTTTTGCATGTTACCTTTTGTTCATATGCATATAAGTTCCAGATGGCTGCAATCAAAATATTTGTAGCTAATGTCACAAGCAGTTAGAAACAGTATTCATCATCCATAGTCCATTGTGTTAAAGTACAAAAACATGTGATAACATTCTCTTCTAATATTTAGTTGTTTTTTTTT